AACGACGAAATGAGAGAAGAAAAGTACGATGGAGAGCATACAGTGTTGGTTTGTTGAGGCTAAGTAAGACTATCACGTGTATATCAGCACTTGGTGCAACGCAACCAGGAGGTAAGAGGTAACACGAGGGATAAAAAAGAGAGGAAGAAGCGGAAAGAGAGGAGAAAGAAGCGAGAGGAGGCGGAGGAAGCATAAAAGAGTCGACACTCCGTTATAATAAAGTCCACCCTTGGAAGCCTTCCGCCCTCTTTGCGCCAGCCCTCTCCCACTTCTCTCCTGGCAGCAGCAGCATTACGCCATCCAACTTACTTTGTTCCTCAACTTTATTAATTTTTCCCTCGGTCTTGGGGGAGCGCCCGCCCCCGCTGCTCCGTCGCCCCCGGTGGTTATATCGAGAATCTAGTCGCCGGGGGGTAGTAAGTGAGAAGAAGAGGAAGAAGGAGCGGCGGAGGAAGCAGGAAGGAGCGAGGAAGAAAGAAGAGAGAGAGAGAGAGAGAACGAGCGAGCGGGTAGGAGGCGGTTCTCTTCCTTGTGACGGGAAATTTAAAAATCTGTCTACGCGTTGTCGAACCACCCGAGGAAACTTTATTATTAGCGCCGCGCGCGCGAAGAGAAGGGGGGAGGGGGGGCGGCGACGTCGTAGACGTCGACGATGACGACGACGACGACGGCGACGATGGCGGTTCGACGAACTACACCGCGAACGGAGATATTGCCTTTATAAACTCATTTGCAGCCGCGACCCGACGGGCGAAGGAAGAAATTTTGTCCGCCGCCCAGGCACGCCGGCGCGCTCGATTCGGACAGGAATTGCGCGATCGTCTGACAAGGCGCTGGTGATTGATGCGCCCTACGAACTAAAGACTCACCGATGCCGAATAATTAGAGAGGGGCTCTTCGACACTTCGCCGGAGGTGTTGGCTTTTTTTACGCTGATAGCTTTACCCCATCTGTCGTCGCGTAAATCTGTCCGCTGCAAATTTTCTAGTTGATTTTTTAAAAATCATAAAATCGGAAGTTTGTATGATTTCCATAAATTAGAAATCTATGGAATAGATCTACAAAATTGAATCGGCAAAATATCTCGTCTGAATGGAAGGGAGACTTCGGTCGAGTCGCGAGAGCTCTCCCGCAAAAATTCAATTGTTGACGACATCCGTGAACCGATTAGCGGTGCCCGCACTTCCACGGGCTTCTGCAACATAAATATTTACGACTCATTCACGAAGCTAATATAAATGCGATTTGGGCGTTTGCTCTTTTTGGTGCATGCTCTAATCGGATTAGGCCCGGCGCGCAACAACGGACCGCGGCTGCTTGCATTGTGCTCCGTGCTGCGCGAGCCCACCTTACCCCCTCTAGAAAGGGGAAAAGGGGTCTCTGCCCTTGTGCATTTCACTATACACGCCGAACCGTGCTATCCCCTCCCCCCCCCCGTCCGCCCGCCCCCCGACGTTCCTCCCTTCATTATTCACGTTGCTATTCCTGACCGGTGACGCGGATTTAGTCGCTTTACGTCTACTCCATACACACAGCGAGATATAAGTCGACACGTCGCTCCTGCGTTCGTCCCGATGTTCCTTTCGTAGGCCACCGAGGCATAGAGCCGGGACCTACGATGCACGCGGATCGCGTCAGGGCCGCATTGTTATCCCTATTGGCTTATAACTGCTTTTCTCTCGTACCCGTACTCCGACATTCCACGCGTTTCCTGCGTATACCATGGGAACGTGTCACGAGGACTCGATGACAGCCGAAACGAACGACGACAAATCATTTTCTTCCTGTCACCATTGAGACTGCGTGTACGGTGGCACGGAGCCTCTTCTAAGCGGTCTTAATCTTCGCGCATTTTCCATTTCTACGTATACAAGTGTTACAAAGTGAGGTTTGATGCGCGCCGATAAATTTCGAATCGTTATTTTCGAAATTTGAATTTAACCATTTTCGAAACAACATCACGTCTCGCGATATAATTTGTCATTTTGTCCGGCACAGGCTGAACATTAAGCGAGGCGGGAACTCTACGTCGCGGACACTCTCGTTACACAACCGCGAGCGTTCTTTACGACTCTAGGAGGAAGACGAGAGAGTGAGAGGAGCGACACGAGAGACAGGGCGACCGTGTGTAAGCGACTCTCCACCCCATTGTCAGCCGGAACCTTTTCAGAGACGCATTTGTTATCCTTTGAATGAGGAGCAAGCTATTATTTATTCCATTCTTATTTTTTGTCAGGCACCCGTTGTGTAGTAAATGGATATAAGTCAGCGCGGGCGAGCAGTGGCTCTGTCATTTTTATCGCCTCTCCCTGAATTAAGAAGGTGGAGCTCGCGACTTCCTCCTCCGCGTACCCCTCCAGTCCCCCTCTCGCCCACCGCGTCTAACTGTTTCTCTCTTTTCCTCTTGTCGTACGATGCATCTTTTTCTCGCACGCTCTTCCTCTCCGTGTTTCCTCTGATTCTCCTTCTATCTCTCGACTAGCCGACGAACTGAATCGAGCAGGAGGACCGCCATATTTCTGCCTTGCCGGTAGGGTACACTCTCCGCGTCATTGTTCCGATTGTGACCGGACCGAAACGAGTTGGGCGTTACTACTCGCTGAACGTACGATTTATAGGATCGAGTTAGCACGAGAGACGATAGAAGAGTTGCGAATCCGCAACTGCAACGTCGCTATTCATCGCCGCTTTCCTTCGATTCCGTTAGTATCGCGACGTACTTTCCTACGATTTCTTTCCGAGTGACGCGGATTCTATATTCTGCATATTTTTTTTTTAATTATTTAAAATTAGATATGCACAGTCCACTGGAAAATGTCGAAAATAAGACGTGGCTTAAGTGACGAGGAGATGAGCCAAGAAAGTGGACTTTAGGAACGTTCATCTCGTGATACGCCTTACCACGATTTCTACTCTGTGTTTTAAATAATAAAATACGTCCCTTATATTTGAGATGTAGTATAAATATATTAGCAACATGTCAAAGAGATGTCCCGACGACCGTTGTCCTTTTCGAGAGTTTCGGTTCTCGAAGCACCGTGTCTGGATCACGGTCGCGCGAACGTTAACCGGGATTTCGGTAGTCGCTGATATCGCGTGAGAGGATCCAATAACATATTTGACGGATGGTGGAGGGTCCGTGAAATCGGATTGACCAACGTCCATATTGGATTCCTTCTCCTGTAACGCTGTCTACCTTCTTTCCTACGCTGACCCTTCACAGCTAGGGATTACCGCAGTGAACAGACTACCTTCGATCGTCCGTGGAGAAAAAAACATGAATCTCTCATTTTATTTCGTGCTGACGACAGATTGAGTTCACAGCCGGAAACGCTTTCGGGATCCTTCGTCGCGTTGTTAACGATACAATAATATTCAAAACGCACAAACATTCGTTAAAAATACGTGAGTTTTTTTTTATAAATATGCTGTTGTAAAAAAGAATCGATGCACTCCCATAAAATAATTCTGACTCCGTGATATTTGGCTTTGCAACATATTACAGTAACATTTAACATGCAGATTTTTGAAAAATAAATTGTTATATTCTTGTATCGTGATATTCTCATCATTTCTTTATCCTTTCTCGCCAATATACTCACCAAAGTACATGCAAAGTTTCACCAAGCGAGAAAGCTTGCTTCGAGATGCGTCGACTTTTTCGATAAACAGTGAATATCCTTATCGTTACCTCGGATAATTTCTTTCGAAACATTCTCGACCAACTTTGTCTTAAGTACCAATTGGACTGTCTGTTTGAACGACGAGGAGTCATTTTACTTCGTTTAACTACGGGTTTATTCGACAGCGCGGCGTCGTAAGGGGGAAACGAAAGGATCGTGGAAGAAGCGAGAGAATGGACGAAGGCAACGAGCTCGGGATTAGCCGGTGGTAATAACCGTCCCCGCGGTTTCGAAAGCTCGCCAACCAACAGCCACAAGCTCGCCTCTTGCAGCGCGGGCAGGAGCGCGCGAGCGGGAAAGAGGGACGATCGCGCGCGCGAAACAGAGACCGTGGGACCGTGGTAAGGGTGGCTTCACGGGGATGATTTTACGTGGCAAGACAGAGAATGTGGGCCTACACGGTAGTCGTCGGTGGCCGTGTCGGTAGGCGGTCTGAGGCAATCCTGTTGATTAAAAGGTGGGGAATCGACCCAAATAAACTCGCCATTAAACCAGATGAGTCTCTCCGCACGATCGCACTTCAGCCCCGTTTCACGTATCCACAAATGTCCGTGTGTATTGGCAAGGATGGTCTGCTGGTGTTCGCCCGTACGTATGCTCGCGATGTTGCGCGTGTATATGTGTATGTATACGATATACACCCTCTTTTTCCCGTCTGCCGCCTTGCCGAGGTGGGAGACTCCGAAGGAGGGCCAAAGAGGGGTGGTGCCCGCGAAGTGGGGAGGGAGAATAAATTGATTTCGTTGACTCAACCAGCCGTAACGCCCCCTCAGCATGATATCAACCCTAAGCCTCGGTTATCTTTATTTAAGCTTTACGAGAGTCTACGCCGGCGAATCGGGGGAACTTCGTGGGAGGCTCCATCCCGCGTCCCTCTTGCTTCGCCTCACTCTTTCGATCTCATATTCCCTCGTTGGTAGGTTATAAGCAAGAGTATACCAGGCGGAAAGGGGGAAAACTTTAGCCTGTCTCTGCGGTATTTTTACAACGGTGTATTTCCTAATACTCCTAAATAATCTTCCTAGTGCGGCAAGTTCTTGTTACATTAACGAATTTAATTATGAACTTGTTCTACAATTTTTTATGTTGAAAAACTTTAATATTTATTATGTGTATTAAATTCGAATTTTAAGTGTACTTAAAATTCAATAAAAAATGAAATTTTACTATATATTTTTATGTAAATTTTTGAAAAATATTTTAGTGCTGATTGAATTTATTTTAATCAATATTCCATAAGTGAGAAATATTGTCACAGTAATACTGGTAATATTGTAAAAAATGAACACAATTCTATTTCTGAATTTTCTATTTCAGGGAAAAATATCAATCTGGAGATTGAAACGTAAAAGGCCAGCAAAGGATTCGGTAAGTCGCAGACAATATATTTATTCAGATTTTGCAAATTTATACGTTTCTTTATCTCTTGTGTTATTATCGATAATTAAATGATCTTTAAGTTTGTAATACAACTCTGACGTCTGTTCTGTAATACAATGATGGATGATAAAGGCCAGTAGAGTCGACATTCCGAATAAATTACACTTCAATATACGCGCGTATGTTAGGCCTCTCATTCGATCCCTCGCAGTTTGTCTCAGATACTTTGCATTTCGCGGCCGGGGACAAATAGCGTCGGTGCGTGTGCATGAATATAATGAAATCGTATAGAGACGGACGCGTGTTTGTACGAACGCACCAACACGCATACGCGGTCGCGAGGCGACGACGACGATATTATAATAATGAAGCATGTCATTTCTCAGAGTGTCAACTGCACTGAATCGAAGGATGGGTGGGCATGTCCAGGGAAGAGCGATGCCGCGTCTAACATCCCCGAGGGTGTCGTGAAGCCCGGAATGGGGGGACGCCCGGGGTAGCTTCATCAACGGATATTAAAGGATTTGCATGAAGTATTATTATCGTTATTGCCAGCATACCCCGGCGACGAGCGAAGAGTGTGGATGTCGAGTTAAGCGATAATTTTATTCGACACTCGTTCGGCTCAAACACGTTGTCAGTTTCGTTGCCGACGACGAGAGTGCGATTCCGTGTTAATTAAACGCGGCTGCAAGAGAGGAGCCGCTTGATTGATAGAATATTCTCATTGGTCGTCAGATGGATTTATTTGTGTTCCCCATCTGGGCGACATACTTACACGGGACTGTAAGCGAAACTAGAAACGACGATTTCCTGTCTGCGCGCTGTGATCGGTTTTGCGCGAGCGGTGTTTACGCGAGCAGCTTATTTATATAATGGCGCGTTTAAAGGTACTAAAAATTATCGATTTCCTTGCGAAACGACAACGCGGGTTTTCTTAGCCGACCCCTCGCAGCCACCGCTGTGTAATTAAACTTTAGAAACGTAATTTCGCGCGAGCTTTTGGCCGGTGTAAGCGGCATTTTTACCAGATTTTAATACGAACGCCTCAATAAGCGAGTCGGATGAATGACATTAAATTATATGGTGTGCTGTAAGGCGCTCGAACGAGGGGGGACTTGGCGCGAATAGCAAGCCGCATCTGTGGCCCCGCAGAGGGTGTAACTGTTATAACGGGGCGAGGGCGAGTCCGACTTGCGCTGACTTGTGCCCGCTTCCACTTCCTATCCCTATATATTCCCTTTACTCTACTTGGCGCTAACTTTATTGCGTGGCAATTTGCTTATTAACTTGCAGTTAGTCTCGGCTGCGCGTCGATTAATTAATAGGCGCCGAGTCGCCAGATGGGAGACACGCCCAGAATCCACCTTCCGCGCCGAGCCAGCGAGATTTGTACGCGTTATCCTTAAATACTCGCCACCCCACTTGCGACCCCTGCCAGATTGTCGAACTTTATCCAGTTCGCCGCGCTGCCATTAAGACCGAGTCCGTCAAATGGGATAACATTGCGCCGGGATAACTTTGCATTAGAATGAAAACGATTTTATAATTACTTAATGTCTAAGAAAATAATCAGCAAGGTAACGAAAAGAGTACTGCAAGCACGGGCGCGTATTATTTTAATTCGAGATAAATAAATTTAAATAGGAGAGGCAAAAAAATGCGTCAACGGAATTTTCGGGGTGTCGAAGCGACGCGTTTAGTACCCCTGAAGATCGTGAAAAAGATTGAGATGGATAGCAGTTTTTTTGTTGACACTTTGAAGAAAAGAAAGGAATAGTACAGTTGTCGGAGTTGCCGTATTTTCCATCATTATGCCCCTCTCGAGCTTACTTAACACTAGTCGTATAACCCGCGCCAGGCAATATACCCTATCTCCCTTGTCTTCACCTGTGCTTAGCCAACCACCGATAGATGTACACACGCCTAAGCGGCCGACACTGTGGCATTGCGTAAACGTAACGCGTTGACGACGTACGTTGGCGGGTGCAAACATTTGTGCAGCTTCCTTAGCCGCCGCACGGTAAACCTGAACCGAGATTTCGCTCGTTGATGCTGTACACACATATACGTACACGAGAGGGTGCCGTAACGAGCTTTGATGCTACCATTTGGCGAACGGTTGATTGATCCACTTGGCTCATTTGCTGTCTGTAGTGCCGTGTAAGAGACTTGTAAGAGTCAAGATCAATTATACCGCAAGTAGGTACTTTGAGCTTGGATTTTTGAATAATAATAAGAAGAAAATTACTTTAAGTGATAATTATTTGTTTATACTTAACGTTAATTATTAAATTAATAATTAAATGATCTATTGTAATAAAAAGTCATGAAAAAAAGAATATGAAAGGGATAAAATTTTCTTTATAAAAGACGAGAGAAATTAGATAATTTTATTGCATGTAGTATATAACTATTAAAAGTACTTAGCCAACTATACACTGATGCAATCTGGCTTTTAAGCAATATTCAAGTTTTAAGATTATAATAATTTATTGCTGATCAACGTAGCGGATGACAGGCTTTCATTCCGTGCAAAGCCACCTTTAACACCGACTCTCTCTCTCTCTCTCCTCGTAGCCTCCTACAAATAGCACGGACGTTGGTGGCCGCATACAGTCGCAGGTGTGTGCGGCTGCACGCGTGTGTCCGTGCGCGCGGTGATATACAGCACGCGAGCAGCCAGCAGCGCGAAGAGCCAAGCAGAGAAATCATATTGACCCGGAGCCATATACGCGCCTCGGCCGACGGGTACGAATCAATAAAGATTTCCCATCGCGAGCCTCGAGTCGGACGGGGGAATATTTCAAACATCCGCCGCCGCCGAGACCCTTCTCCGGTTACCCCACCCACTCTCGATCACCACCCTTCTTAGTCCTTGCATCATACATCTCCTTTCCTCGTCTCTCATCGCTCCCCTCTCCCCCTACCGCTTATTCGCACTTTTATTATCTCGGTACGAGAAACATTTTTTATCGACTGCCCCGGCGCGGGTCTCTCGGACACGAACTGTAAACTTTTCCTCCCTTTTACCCTACAAGAGGCTCTCCTTTTTCCATCTTCCTCCTCCTCCTCCGTCGCAACCGCTCTCTATTCGCGTCCCTTTTTCCCTCGCCCGTGCACACTTTCTACGTCGTTTTCCCCGATATGTCGCGCGGGCATGAATACGTAAACCCCGGTTTGGGTTCATGAAAAGTGAGAGACACGGGCGGAAGGTTTCTATTCGAGTATCGAGGTAGGAAATGTCTCAACGCGCAACGAGTGACGTAATTGATTAAACTTGAAAGAAGCTGATGAAATATCTCTGGACCAATTATATTTGAGGAAATGAGATTTAACCGAAATACGATCATTTAAAAATTAATTCCCTTACTTCAATATCGTAGGAAAGACGATGTTATTACTAAGTAATTGGATAATATTTGAGAAAGAAAAATTGACATATTATTACGGAATGATATTTCTTTATCGCGATTATTCTTTGACGCGGGTCGCGAGAATAAAAATACTTTTATTGTGAGTGTCGACAATTTACTTATATCTTATCTGTATTATCTCCGGTTGCCAATTTATCCGCGTCGATATTTTCACCGTAATTTTCCTACTTACAGTCGTTTAACTGACATACGTTTAATAACATAATTAAATCACTTCACTTATGATCACGGTGGAATAAAAATTAATTATCCGACACGTATTTTTGACGACGCTCTCGGCAATAATACACAGAAATATCACGCCGGTATCGCAAAATAGAATTACGATACCAGAAATGGAGTCGGCGAGAATTAATTGGATAGTCGATCGTTTTGCACTCGTATTCTGCAAAGTGACGGATTAATCGGAGACACGTGATACGTGACAGACCAGGAAAACGAAGAATATACATGAGACGGATACGAATATATGTATAATAATGTCGTATTACAAATATGTTTGATTGCAAATATATATTATCACGGACAGAATCAATTTATAAGTAACCTTATAAATCATTCTTTGCTAAAATTTTTAGATATATATCAACGTATATAAAAATATTTAAAAATAGTCGACCGCAAATCTAGAAAAAAAAAACAAAATTAATTATTCACGCAAATCGCATCCTCTCTTTAAAATAACGTTCAACAATTTTGCCAACAACGCGAATAATTTACAAACTGACGGGCGACGATGTTCGTCATCCGGTAATTGAATGCTCTCCGTGTGTCGCGCGAGGGTGACTCGTTCCTCCGGATTAACGTTCCGCAAGCCTCGCCCGAGAGTGGCTCGATAGCGCGAGTTAAAGGATGATGGTGAACCTAAGCCAAGAGGAGGGGATGCCCAAGGGATGCTCGAGACATTTGTCAACGAGACGACGCGCGGTGAGTGGAGCGGATCTCCACTCGTACCACGGACCGTACGTGTATCCCGCCGAGACCGCCGCGGAGAGAAGGAGATGACCTTTCTCTCTCTCTCCTCCCCTCCTCTCTCTCTCTCTCTTTCTCGCTGTCTCGCTCCGGTCAGGCAATATTAGACCGCATACGTCTTCGGCGTCTGATCAAAGCAGTGACCTCTTGAACATTTTTCTTTGCTCGCGGATGATCTTTATGTCCGTACGTGGAGTAATGCGCGTGACGAGGACGCACAATCGCCAAGATCACGTTCGCCAAGATTGATCTTTGTTTCCTACGAAACGCGCCACCTCAATTCTCTCTCAATATTACAAAGAACAGACGGCTCGGTGCTCGCTGAACTATCAGAATATTCTTATCCTTATCTCTCCGGTGAAATGCGAAGCGCTCGAGCGCCATCGCGTACGTATGCGCAAATGCCCACGACGGCGGGCGGAGTGAGTTATCACCACGTCGGTGCTCTGCAACTGTGATTGTAGGTTAACAACGTTACAACTCGTACATTAATTAACTGGCTCGGCCACTGTGTTTGCGTTTGTAGACCCGTTTAGGCGGGATGACGGACCGCGGGCCAATATTATTACGAAGACAAACGGACCGACGTTATCTACCATCGGGGGCTTTCCGACCCACCCCCCGCTGTCTCCGTCGCCCTCCGGTAGCCCGCAGTCTCGAGGGTATATTCATCGGGACGAGAATAGACGAGCGACTCGGAGTCGCGAACTTATAGACGGACGAACAGACTTTTTTTCGCGCACATCGGCGACGAGCCCGGCGATTACCTAAATCGTCTTATAAAACTTATCGAAATCTAATAATCGTTATCGCTAGAATGAACTCGTGTGATATTCGCGAATAGCATATCGTAACGCTCTCCGCGCAGACCGCAGCAGCTATTGACGTCAAATTAGCGCTGACAGTCGATATCGGAGAACCGTTTAAAGATATAAGTTTCCAGTTGTATATCGCCTTGTCGCGACACGGTCATAAATTCTTCGTCGTAAATAAGGCGGTGACCAGTTCCCCGGGGTTGGAAGCTTCTCGCCGTAAAGTACTTCGCGTTGCGTATAGAATGGCGCGATTTCGAATTCTCCCCTTGTCTCATATCGAATAGGCTATGAGGTACGATCGCGAGAGAAATGTGAGGTGAATAGCGGTACGTAGAGACGGGGAAAGAGAGAGAGAGAGAGAGAGAGAGAGAGAGAGAGAGAGAGAGAGAGAGAGAGGGAAAGAGAGCCCGAGATCGGGTAAAGGGAACCACGAAGTGAGTCGTAGGATACGCGGATAACAGCGCTCGCTCGGTTACGGTGGGGGTGTGTCCAGGACAAGGAACGGGCGGGTTCGAAATCGCACTGCTGAGCTGGCTGACTCGCATCGTTCGCCAACATTGTTCCCCTTTATTTGATTACAGGGCATTCGTATACACGATTCCGCAGCGTGGATTCTTCTTTCCGTACCATTGATCCGTATTACACGCCTGCCACCAGCCGCGGTGCGAGCCTCTGTTCGGCCGTCCAGTCGTTCGTGAAAAAGCGCGCACGCGTTATTTCGCGCGACCCCTGCGCGACGAACTCGCGGAAAATCGCTGAAAATGCGCTCATGCTAATTAAGCTGCCAATTCATTAATGTCCGCGGTGGACAGCCGGATCTTTGCAACCAGGTGATTCAACTAATTAGGTCTACATTATGATAATTTTCACCGCTTCCCCGATATCTCTCCCTATTTGCCAACATCCCGTTCGCCGTTGTAAGGCTACAAGGAGGACAGCATATCCTTTCGTTTTATATAAATGGAGCATTGTAAGCATGCCCCACAGGAGCGAGCAGGATTTCGCACGGCTAACAGATGAGGCATTAGGCACCGTAATGGCTCCATTTCCCTCGTGGGGCAGCGCGAAAGAAGGGCCAGGGCCAAAATATTTCTACAAATCATTACTTTTAATTTGCTCGTCCCTTTTATCAAGACAAATGTGCGCGGCAAACTCGGCAGCCCGTGCACACAAAAGTGCGCGCGCGCGCGCGCGCACTCCGAACTCTTCCACATATTCTACTGCCGTGTACAAGCACGCATACAGGCGCGTGTGCGAATTTCGAAGGCAGCGCGCGCGAGACCGCTTAAGTCGGAGCGCGCGAGCGCGGGCTACCCAATGTATATACGTACGTCCGCGTGTGCAACGACAATGCTCGCGATCGGTACATCGGGAAGCGGGACCGGGGCCGTGACCGGGGCCAGCTGGCTTCGCCGCGGGGCGCCGCCGACACCGGCAGGCCAACCGGCAACCGTCACTAACATCGCCGTCGAGAGTATCGCGGCCATCGGCGAGGCCGCGTCAGAACCCCCGGAGTAGTGCGCGGTGGTAGGTCGACATAACCGTGAGACGACGACTCGGTGGGAGCTCCGCGAGGGAGAAAGACGGAGAGAGAGGAGGCAGCAACAATAATTTTTCATAGGCAGAAAAGAAAAGGGAGGATGCCATTCATTAGCCCCGGCTCGGTTGGTTCGCACGTTGTTGGTGCTGCTGCCTGTGACACCTCAATAACCGACCAACCAGGCCTGCCGCACCGCCGACGGTGGCGATGGTACGCAACCGGGTATACGTGTCTACATGGACGTCCTATACACGGCTATCCCGCGCGCCGTATCCCCGTATATAACAGATATATCTCCGCGCCGGCCATTGTGCTCCTATACTGATATTTCTGTTATTGCTGGATTAAATGCGCCACCATGCACCCCGCCGTGCATTATTTTGCAGCGCGACGCGCTATTGCGCCTTCTTTCTCTTTCCCTCTCTTTCTCCCTATTTTTTCTCTCTCTTTTATAAGCT